GTATTCGGCCAATCACAACGCACTGGATAGCTGGCCAATCACAGCACACCTCGCTTTTTCAGACCGATGAGCTTTGTAAAAATCGATGCGTTTCAGAAAGGCGGGGCATAGAGGAGAAACAATAATGTACAGTATGTGGAAAATAATGTGTTTTTTTAACCTTAAACCGCATAAACACATTTCATTACACCAAATACACCAAATACTGTTCTTTTTAGCAGCATCATATGACCCCTTTAATAAAAAAATTTCATTAACATTAACATTGAGTGATAATAGTTCAGACTGTGATATTTCAAAGTGATTTCCGTCATTTTGACAGATAACAAATACCTGGATGTACCTGCTTTAGAAACATTTCAGTAAACGATGCTAATAGGGATTAGAAGTGAAAAGGGGAGACAATTACATTTTAAAGCATCCATGTGAAAACAAGCCTGGAAAAAGACATGAAGAGTTGGGGAGGAGAGATTCTTAATACATTCCAGTGAGTTATTCATGGTTTATATCGTAAATTAAATTGGGAGAGAAGACCACAAACACAGAGTATAGGTTTTCTCTTTTCATACTGTTACAGAAGAATACAAAGGAAAAATTCAAATAATAAGGAGGAAAAGAATGCCGTGAATTGAAAAGAGCTCTTGCCATATATTCTTGTTATTCCATGCCAATACCGAATGTTATGTTATCTGACAACAGCACATGAAGGAGCTCATTTATTCAAACAGACAGATAAGGATTGTTTTTAGTGCAACATGATTTGAAGTGATTTGTTTCAGTCTTTTTGAGTGGAACCCATACCGGAAGTGCCACCCAAAATCTAAAACGCTGTAGATTCATTAGAAAAAAAGGTGGATAGTGTTTAAATTCCAAATTGAAAAGTTGTGTAGTGCATTCCAGCCTTTATCCACACATTTCACAACCTAGAATTTAAAAAAGCAGTGAGATTCTAGTTAATTGCCAAATGTCAAGATGAAGATGTGGCTACAAAAACAAAGAAAATGAGCTACTATCATATGGAGCTTATAATATGACAAAACTAATTGAATTTGTGCTGTGTAAATTTGAATTATTGACAAGTGTCATTTAACAAAACTGAATATTGTGTGGTATTTAACATATTTCTGAATTAGATTTTTTTTGTACTTGAATATTAAACATTTGAAATTTAACACAACTGAACATTTTTATGGCAGAGTTTTATAGACATGTATTTTCAAACAGCACTTTTTTTGTTTTGAAATCTTAAGACTGCAAATATCCAGTTTTTAAAAATACAGCTTCAAGTTTTCAAGATGAAAAGGAAATTCAGAACATCAAATTCAATACTCTAAAATTCAGAAAGTAGAGAAAGTAGGTCAGAGGTAATCCACAGGGAAGAGTAGATGATCTCCTAAAGTCAAACGAAGCCTTTTGGCCAATTAGTAGTTTTCTGGTTTGAGTGTGCGGTTCAAGATCTACCTGAACATGAATTGCCCAGAGGTAGCGATTCTTAAACATTTATGGTTTATATACTTATATGTTAGGTTAGCATTCTCAGCATGTGAAACATTTGTCTAAGCCAGTGGTTTTCAACCTTTTTTTACTCCAAGGACCCTCTCCTCTCCAAATCCAATAGGCTTCGTTTGACTTTTCGGAGATCATCGCCCGTTTCTCAATACCAAGTATGCAAAGTTCGGACTTGTGTCCTTGGTAGTTCGGACTTCACAAGTTAGACTTGGAAGTGTAATTCCACTCATCTAAATACACTAGTCAAAACTTTGGAACAATTACGATTTTTTTTCTAGGCCTTTGAAAGAAGTCACTCATGGTCACCAAGGCTGCATTTATTTGATGAAATACAGTAAAAATCAGAAATATAGGCCTACAATATACATATTAATATTGTGAAATATTATTAGAATTTAAAATAACTGTTTTCTATTTTAATATATTTTAAAATGTAATTTATCCCTGTAATGGGAAAGCTGAATTTTCAGCATCATTACTCCAGTCTTCAGTGTCACATGATCTTTATTTAAATAAATGTCAAATGAGATTTATTTCAAGTTGAGCTTTGCCCTAACAAGAATAAATTACATTGAAAATATATTAAAATAAAAAACAGTAGTAATATTTCACTGTACTTTTTTTAACTGTATTTTTCATCAAATAAATGCAGCCTTGGTATAAGCAGCATAAAAGTCTTCATTCAAAAACATAATATATTCTTAATTATTCCAAACTTTTGACCAGAAGTGTAGAGCACTGCCATTATGCACTAATTTCACAAAGTATCATTTTTTATATTAGTTTAAACCAAATATTGTGTTGCATGTGTTGCATAAGACTTTTGAACCTCAAAAATACCCCTTTGATTATTTTAAACTGCACATTATATAACTGTAAATGGTACTTGTTAAAGCCTGCTAAGTATTAAACTTCTGCATGTAACTCATCCCAAAACACCTCAGCTTTAAAGCAAAGGATGAAGGGTTTTAACTACCAGTGCCACTGCTGTTCTGTACATTAGGTGAGTAATAAGTCTGCGCACAGAAACCATCCCATCCACTCTCTTTTCCCATAAAACATCAAGGGCCGTTTCTCCAGCCGTGTCCCTCAGAATCAGTTTAATTTTAACGGTATTGCAAATATGCGGAGGGTTTGATTGTGTCTGAATGAGTCACAGTGGCTATGCAGGATTGGAGGTGATAAAATGCATCAGTGGAAGACTGCCTCAATATATCCCAAGAGGCACATCCATTCACTCAGGGGTTTCAGCACAAATCTCATTTTTAAAGCCTCACAAATATTCATTTATACATCCAACTTTAAAATGCTTAAATCCCATGGCTCTAGGCCAGAAGTGTCATGCCCATTCAAACTGTGGATTCTGAATGCAAATTGCCAAAAAGCATTTAAACTTTTTTGATTAATTAAGACCTGGTACAACACAGCACAGCACAGTTTTGTCAGACTTTCTCATATTAATTCTAATATACTGTAGTTAGTTAAGTCCATATAAAGCCATAACAATGTCTCAAACATTGTGGGGATGAAAAGTAATGAAGAACATTAAAATAATTATAATTTATTGTAATCAATATGAACTATTTGAATAGTATATATAAAAAAAAAACATGCACACATTTACTCTT